CTTGCCATCCTTGGTACGGCGTCTGGCCTGAGGATACCCAGGGGGTGGATCCCCCTCTACCCAAAGCTCTCCACCGCGAAAACTGCCAAAGGAAGTGGTTACATTCGCTGAATGCTTAAGGTTGTGGAGATCTCGATGTGGTAACACTGCCCAACGCTTGTTTGTTGTAGCTCACGCTGACGCTGGAAAAGTTCTGATCTGGCATGTGTGCGCGAAAGAAACCTGCTAAACACTGCGTCACGTGAGGAGACATGTTGCTGCGCTCAGCGACACAGTAGAAGCCACCATGAAAATAGCCTACATAAAGATGAGCAGGACTTATCCTGATGGCCACGCACACTCTGTCGTCCACGTCCTTTACAAGTGCGCATCATCGACATAAGCAAGTGTTCACATGTCTCGCAGGTAAAGTTAAAGTCGCCCTGCACACATGCCTCCTTGGCTTGGTTCTCAACAACCAACTTTTCCTCTTGATTCAGCATCACGGCATCCTCAAAATCCTGGAGGTCGCTGAGGTCTGAGGGAGCTAGGTCAGGAATGTCATCTTCTTCAAGCAAGTCTTGACAAACAGGAGTTTCTACAGGATCTTCCTTCAGTCGCCTTGTGTGCGAGAAGCAAACTCCAGATTTTCTCCTCGATTTCCGGCCAACTGTGAGGGGACCTGGAACGGCTGCCGGCTCGGCGTCCGCGTGGCCATTTGGCACGGCCGCGGATGGAGGCATAGATGCTGGCCCCGAACACTCCACTGGAAGTTGGATGTTCCGAAAGTCCGTGTAGCTCCGGCGATTCATCAGTGCTGCAGAGTTTGGAGCCGATGCGGCGCTCGCCTTTGGGCAGCTTCCGAAGTTGGCTTTGGAAGCGTGGGCGACATGGACTCCTGAAGACGACGAACTCGTTCCAGGCGCTTCAAGGCCGACTGTTCGGCTGCCCAGAGGCTGATGCAGCGATCCTGCAGCTGCTCCTCGGGAAAGGTCTTGACCGCCTCCTCTGCCCGTGACACCCGCTCCTTGGAACACACAGTACTCTTTCCGGGGGAGCTTCCTCGCAGAGCCCGTGGCATGGACTCCCTTTCAATACGGGGATCGTCCGAATCCAGACCGGGCGGAGGAGACTTGGCCTTCCCCTTGACCTTGCATTTCGGAGGTGCTGGAGTTGCCTAGGCAACAAGCGAAGCAAGAGCACTCAAAGACGCACGAATATCGGGGGCTGCGTCAACTGAAAGGGCTGCTGAGTCACAAGGAACCTCCAATGGCACAGGCGCTGGAGTAGAAGTCGAGCGCTGATTGCACGAGGCATCCTCTGCTTCACATACACTGGCGCCATGAAAGTTTCCTCTTCTTCTGGGCACGCACTGAGAAGGTGCTCGGGACGTTGTCTGATCTGAAGCCTTGCGGCGTCCAATCCTGCCTGAGGTCGAGCAAAAGATGGCCTGTTCTACTTTGGCGTAATGGAACTGCTAGGACAGGATCTACTGCGACAAAGATGGCTAGGCACTTGGAAAAATCAACCACGGCTCTCAGACGTCAAAGGCTCTTCATGCCAACCAAGACTAAGATCGCGACGCCTTCACAATCTAGGGTGTAGATTTGCAGCTTCAAGGAGGTACTGCCCAACCGCTGTGGAATCAAGACACAGGAAAACCTGGTGTCATGAGTGCCATTTCCAAGCTTGAAGCGTTTTGCTGGAACTGCAGCTACCTCAGTAGTTTCTTGAAGCTGGTACATCTCAAAACGGGCCTGCATATATAAGAAATGCCAAAGCCGGGAGTGACCCGACAGTTTCAGTTGCGCCACTATCAATGATATCAAAACCCAAGGTCTCGGGATCTCCTGTCTCCTGAAACATGAAGCAAAGCAGCATCTTCGGGCACCTCGGAAGAAGGCATTGGCGTACCTGAGGAAGCAGACTCGCCCTCGAAAGACACCTCCTGGTTCACTCAGATGTCGCCAGCATAGAAGCCGAACCCTTGCTCTTCGCACCCTTGCCTTTTGATGGGGCTGATCGCTTAGGACAGGTGCGGAACGCGTGCTCCTTGGACCACAAATGAAACAACCTGTGAATCCTGGGTCGTAGATGTGAAGCAAACCTCTCTTACCCTTACCAGGCTTACCCTTGGAGGAATCTTTACCCCACTCTTACCCTTCTCAGTAGAAGGATAGAACCCTCTGGTGAGCTGCTTAGACTTGACGGCACGACGGGCTTGCAGAAAGGTTTTCACCTTGTTCTGCGCCACCGCAACGGCTTCATCAACCTCCTTTTGCTGCTCAGGGGACAACTCAGAATGATCCTCACGGCTTTTGCTCCAACTCCAGAACACCCCGTGGGAATCGTCATGATAGCAATATCCGTCACCATAGTCACGCCACCAGACACAGCTATCATCATCCTCAACGCTCCAACAACCATCGGCGGCCTGTGTCCAAGAAGGGGGATCAGAGTGCGCAGCGTAGACTTCTTGGGGCAACTGCGTGCCCACATACAAAGTCTCAATGGGCTCAAGAATCTCATCCAAATCTTCGTCGGCCGGGAGACACATGGACCAGTGTCCCTGCTCCTCAGCCCAAAGCGTCTTCTGGCCTCTGGAGTGACAGTGCCTGGAGCGGTGATTGTATTCTTGATGGATAAGGCATCTTTCGTTGGAAGTCACCTGCGCGGGAGCTCCTCCATCACCAACAGGGCCTGATGACGAAGTGTCATCCTTGACCGCCGCGTAACCCTAATCTTTTCGGGCTCGAGCAAGAGCTACTTGCACTCGGCGATACACTTGTCTGACATTGGAAGCCAAAGTGGCCATCGACATTCCAGTGGGGCTGCGAAGCTTGATCATCAGATCCTCCAAGCGAAGGCCAACATCAGGGACCGGAGTTCGGCCTAACCGTTCTCGCAAAAAAACTGCTGAAGGTAAATCACTTCCTTCCGTCGCACAAGGCGCGAATGATTCAGGTCTTGAGTAGTGCTCCAGGCACGTCCAGTCAGCGGGGCAACCATCTCAGGAGCCAACAGATGACTCCTCTGTCGCTTGGTCCTCTCAAACACGAGGCGAACCTTCCGAACGAAGTCATTCCATCCTGAAGCTTCACCATCCCATGTGCAGCGTTGAAGGAGTGCCTTGTCGTCTTTCGTTCGGAGAATGGCTGGAGCCCCATCCCCTCGGACCGAGCTCCGCTACCAATATCAAGGTAGCTCTGCGTCGTTAACACAAAAGCTGAGCAACAGCGGTCGCAATGATCTTCACTTTTGGGCTCCGGCGCGTCGAAACTCCCACGGAGTGCAAGCTGACACCTGTGGTGCCTCCAGGAAAGCCTGTGGCTCACGGAAAGCTACCACCTATGGTGGTTTGAAAGGTGCAGTAGCACGATTTGGGCCAAAGGCTTAAACGAATTCCTGCAAAAGAAACGTATTAGTGCATGCGCAGCCGCTTGAAGTGATCACACTCGGAGGCTTTACCTCCGGAACTGACAAATAGAAGGGTGGGGGTTAATGTTAGTATGAAGAAGTGATTGAAATGTTCATTTTCCAATCTGTCTGCGGCGTCAAAATTGGCAGTACTGCTCTGATTTTGAAGCTCTGCTGAGGTTTCTCAGACAAGCTTGGAGTTTTACACCGTTCAACGTCAAAAATCCAAGTTGGAAACTCAAGATTTCGGGAAAAGCTTTTCTGATTTGTTGACAAGCAAAAATCTTCAGCCCGAGCATTTGATCAAAACTTTGAAGGTCACGTTAAGGGTCCACATTGCATAATCGAATAGCTGACCGATAACCTTCAATCTTCAATAGAGCTGGTTTGAAATTTCCGGATCGGGAAATGTCAAGATTTTGCAAATGATTGAAGGGCTGATAAACACTTAGAAATCTGTTGAATCTATCAGGTTTGAGGATTCTCCGAAAGCTTTCATCCACCGAGATTTTCGAATACAAACTGGCCTGTTAAATCAGACACTCATTTACGATGATGCAAATAACTATGATGCAAAAAACCTAGATGGCACAGATTGCTCGGATTCGAAGGATGTTGGCGCAAGCTCACCAAGATCTATGTGACGCCTCTAAGATAGCCATGAAATCTATCACAAAACGTTCTCAAAACCTGCAGTGTTCTTAAAGCATGGCCCGAGAATATGGCTGACAATGCTGCCGACAATTCCCTGCCAGAAGCCAAAGCTGTTAAGGTATGGCGCAAAAATGTGTTTAACCGAACAATGCTTGCCATGACACCCTTCTAGTAGTTCCCCGCCACAAGCTATTCAGGAAATCCCATTTGCCACATTGTAGGAGATTCCGTATTAGATGAGGGGCTCCATTCGGGAATATGTCAAATACTGCTTTGGAGGACAGCATCCGAATAACGAGCATTCCGAAATCTGTGAGTTTCAGGCTGATGTCAGTGCTTACACCGATCTGTGATGTGGACCCAAAAACTTCCCAACAACAAGCAAAAGACATCCTTGACCTACACGCGAAAACAATCCGTCTCACATGTTCACCAATTTACCCCAGGAGCATGACCACCTAAAAACCTCAAGTATCAATCCAAACAAGCATTACGTACAGGTCATGGCACCCTCTATATACAATTATTTTTATGGCTTGCAAAGGCGCTGATGATACTTGAATGCGAATGTTGCACACCCGTGAGCTGCAAGTTTGGAGTCGGCGTTTCAAGGCAGGAGGCCATGACTTTAGATGGGCCTTTGATTGCTGGTAGTCTATTCAGTTTACTTTTATGAGGCAGGCTATGTCTGGTTGACGCCGTGTTGGTTCAAGGTGATCATTCATAGTGAAGCGCAGCAAAGCTCAAAAGGCTACCATGCTAATGAGCTCAGCAAGCAGTCTCCATAGTTTGAAGTAGTTTCGGTTTTAGGGTTACAGGTTTACGACTTCAGGGTCTCTCTTTCCCGACATGTTCATGCTAGAGTTGTGTTGGGGCGTTTTGGGGGTCGTAACAACATGTTATATGGGACGGCATGTTTTTGCAAATGCGCTTCAAGCAGGCACGGCAGCCTTGGCAGCCCATCCAAAGTCTGCAATCTTCACGGTCATGTCCTGAAACGAAATGCACGAGCATTGCCCGATTCTCACATTTGCCGTCGGCATGGCCATTTCCATATAACAGAAGCAAAATGAGATCTTGTTGGTGCTTCTCGAAGAGCAGAACGTTTCTAGTTCTTTCCTCCACACAGCACCTGCGGTATCTTTTTAAGTGTCACATGCCTCATACATCCTCATAAGAGAAACTTGCAACAAGTTTGTTCGTCCATGTCAAGGAAGGCTGAGCCTAGCCGCCTAGCCAATCTGCATTCACCGCAGGACGTGGACAGTAGCGTGACATAGCGTAGCATGCTGCATGTTGGACGCCTTGGCTACAACGCAGCACTGTCCTGCTTGGCAAGTCCCAAGCCGGTCATGCTTTCTAGAGGGGGATTCGCTCCCCATGGAACAAGAAAACACCATGTAGGTCTTGTTGGATAGCCTGTGAGGGTGTGCCCCACATGTACAATGAATGCTGTGAAACTACTGCTCCTCGGTCAGCAGAATGTTTTCCGGCTTCAAGTCTCTGTGGATAATCCTCAGCAAGGGGCTGTGCAAGCGCGTCTGAAAGCTTCCTGCACAATGTGATGGCTGTGTTTAAGAGCGCAGCCCGTGGTCATGCAAGTGCCTGACCCCCTCGCATACCTGATGTGTCTAGCCAAGCACGAGCATGTGCTTTGGCGGTGCAAAGAGGAAGAAGATTTCAAAGCAATCCTGGAATATCAAACGAGAATGGCATGGACGCGGCCCACATGCTGGCCTGTCTGAACACGTAGGCGGCTCGTGGCTCATTCAAGGGACCATGTCTTCGCAAATGCCTGGCTGCTGCTACATCAGAAGCTGCGCTGGCTTTCAAATCTGAGAGCTTCACTGATACAGGTCTCCTCCTGAAGCCAGCTCCAAGACTATGTACACCTCAGCGACATCGTCAGCCTTCCAATGCCACGGTTGTCACTTGAACACAAGACGATACCATCGACCGTCTCACTGTTCGGTTTTTGACCAAGGATATGTCGTCGACCAACTAAAGTTGGCTTGGGGCATGCAAAAGGAGCTGACCATGTCCGACTCTGTGAAGTAGTCGAAACACCTTTCAGTAAATGGCCATCATCTTTCAAGCACTCGGATGTGCTCAATCAGTTCAACCGGGAGCCTCAGCAAGTTGGGATGTGAGAGCGTCTTCTGGGTCTCTACCTAGGTCTGGGCTTTCTCGTTGGCAATCCGACTCTGCCAAAGTCACTGGGCGCATGTCTTCGGCAACAAGCTGGTGCTGGAGGTTATGGTCCTTACATCTGATTGCAGATGTACCAAAGGTACCGAAGCATACCAAGCAGAACGGCTGCATGACAAGGCAGCCCCGCCAGAACTCGCTTCTTGTCCACAGCCTTCAGGGCATAGACCTGACTTGCTGCCCACTGCATGCCTTCTCGCTCCCATATGGTCTGACTCCAGTCCATGCCGGGCTCATTACACGTCCGGAAGTTTTGTGCATCACCTTCTTTACAGAGCCCATACCTTGCCATGTGTCCGCAAACATGTCTTTCAGCATATGTTCTTGCAAAATGTGCAAAGAATCTCAGTGCCGGTCTTCCCTCCCCCAGGCCCTGTAAAGACACGAAATCGTCGCGGCATAGCCTGTGCAAAAAAACAAGAAAGCGGTCAATGTACGATCACCATCGTGCTTCAGCATGGTCCATCTGCCTGAGACTTGAAGATGCAGCCTGAGTTGCAGGGCTTCAAGCTTGTGTGGCGCTGCTCGTGCTGTTTTCTTGTGATGCAGCGACCGATCACTACATCTTGGAGGTTTGCACTTGTGTTGCTTCATGAAGCTGTTCTTCAGCTGCTTGAGTGCTAAGTATGATCAGGCCTCTGGTCATGAAGTTCAGGGCACGCGCACAGCTCAGGCCAGAACAGGTAGAAGTGAAGGCGCGTCTGCAGCCATATGGGCCATGCATTGGCTTGCAGGGCATTCGCTAAGCCTGTTCACGCCTGTTGCTACCTCAGAGGAGCATCAGTTCCTGACAAATCAAGCTGCCAAACATACTGCACCAGCTGCGTGTAACTTCAGCCCACTGAAGAGGCGGTACTTCAGCCAGAGAAAGATTCGGCGGCGTAGCTCTCTACAACGTGAAGTATCCGTATGCCGCGTGCCAAGCATCGGCTGTTACAATCCACCAAGAGGGTCACGTCATTTATGACGAGCCGCCGAGCTAACACGAGGACTTTGCCAGGAACAGTTTGCATCAGAAGGAGGACGTGTGACGAGGGAAGGCACTCCGCTCACTTGGCATAGCAGTCGTGGTTCACGGCCTCACGCAAAACGGATCAAAACGGCTAGCACCAGTGGCAACTCTGACGCATGTGCCATCGTTGCTTTTTCAGTTGGCTCGAAGTAGCTCTTGCGCAATCTTGCATAGCCAACTGTACATGGCGAGCCAGCTGCTGTAGCTTCTTCGGCTTACGTGATAAGGACTGCACAGCTCTCATCGGAGAGGGTGCAGAGCTACAAGAATCCAGGCGAGAAGCCTGTTTGAAAGCCTTCAAACTTTTGAAGGAAAGAGATCAAGCAGCCCTTTGGCAAAGCGATGTCACATGAAGCTTGGTAAAACGACTTGCCTGCGCCGCTGGCAGATAGCGGGCCGCTGCTTGCTGCCGCTGACCATGCGCGGACGCTTGCAAATCCAGTACCGACACGAGACTGCGCACTGCACTGGACCTTCTCTAGGCATCCATTGCTACAGGTGAACTCTTCTCTAAAAAAAAACCTTGAGCGGTCCTTGCCTTGCAATGTCTCCCAGCAAATCATTTCTTGCACTCGATGGACAAGTCCACATCTGACGGAGTGTAGTACAAGTTTGCGCTTCCTTGTATCAGAACATATCTATCATGATCCAATACACTCAGTGCGCACCTATGGCATGATGCAATCTGTGACGACAAGCGGCCCTCGGAGATACAACTGAGCGCTTCGTTCTTGCGAAGAACTTGCCAAAGGGCAATGCGGTCGTCGAGCTTTGGCACCTAGAGAGAGTCAGCGAATGAGATGAGGATCCACAATACAAGACCTGACAACCAAAGAACAGCACGTGCTCGCCTTTGGCTCAAGGCCAGCTATGAAGGCGGACACCCTATTGGCTTCCGCACGCCCGACTACCTCCGCCTCGGCCTCTGAATGCTGATGCTTGATGGCCTTAGGACGCTCCGCAACTTCGGAATGCAGCAACAGCCTCCGGATTCCAACCTAATCCTGTTCCTTTCAGCCCTTTGCTATGGCTTGTGACATCTTTATGTCATGACGCCTGGAAGGATGCCAGGCACATGCTGCATAACAACGTGCTTTGGATTTGCAGTATTTCTGGCACACAGACAGAACAAATGCTGGGCTGCGCAGAAAGAAGTACACTGTTGATCTTTGCCACTTGAAGCTCCCGTGCACACCATCACAAAATGCCTGTTGCTACGTTGATGGGGAAAGAGACATAACAGGCAGTGTCTGTGGAGGAATCCGATCGGTCTTGGCAAGATGCCAGCAGCTCGCCATTCAGACGCTCCTGCTCAATCTGGCCTTGAGTTCGAAAGAGGCTGACCTGCACAAGACCGGTCATGCAAGATCTGGCAGCCAGTTTTTGCAGCGGCACTATGCGGCACTGCAATCTGAAGGGAAGCTGTAGTCACAAGCAATAGTGGTTCAGTGGTTCAGTGCTGTCCGCAGCCAAATGGTTAACATGGTTGCCCTTCCGAAAAGCTCGCAAGGCAAAGTGTCTGCCTCGTTTTCTGATTCTGCCTGCGAGAGCCTGTTCATCCGATTTGTGGTTTCCTGCACCACATGCACCAATGGGAGAAAGTAGTGAAGACACGACAAGCCGACTGCACCCTCCTGAATGATCTGCTCCAGAATCTCGGAGGTTCGAGAATCGGCGCATTGATAACGAGTTACTTCTAACGAATGAATCTTCACACCACGAGAGGCATAGAACTCCGTATCTTCCTCCCACACTCGCTTGGCAATGGCATGCGAGCTGTCCATGAACTCCTTTAAGGTAACTTTGGCCACATGGCGGATGAATTGCGATCTTGCATGGTTGCATAAGTCACCGCTGGTGTCCTGCACCGAGGTCTTGCTTTTGCATTTTTCAAACTTGGGATGGGAGGCGTTGGGACTTGAAAAGTCTAAGCAAACACCATACAAGTTTTGAACGGCTGTCCCCAGTGCTCTTGACCATCGCAGGAAGATCCACTACTTCCCAGAAGAAAGTTCCCTCCAGGATGAGCTCCACATTATCAGATGTGCGGCAGTTGAACTCAAAGGACATGAACTGAGCACGACAATCAAACCTCTCGATGAAAAGGTTTCGGGTCTCGCGGCGGCGACCTTTGCTCCAGCAGAGTTTGACAATCTCCGCATAGGGTTCCAGGAAGAAGGCTCTTGGCTGGCCGGGAGCCCGCTTTTCCTCGCTGCCATAAAAATACTGAAATTCGCCCTCACGGTTCTTCACCTTGGCTAAACTGCGCACACTACCGGACACCCTTTCCTGGTATTCTGCAAGTGACTTGTTGCAACCCTGAGCTTCCACAAATGCACCGAGACCAGCAAGCACACGGCACTGTGGTGGGTGCACAACTGTAAGGCGGCCGCCAGCAAAAACAGCCAAATAACGCTGTGTCTGCAGTCTAGGCATGCAACGCACGCAACCCCCGGCGAAGAAAAGTCAGCAATTGCGGGGCAAACCTGACTGCTTCCTACTACGAGTTACTCGTTCGACAATACGAAAGGCATCCTGGTACATGCAGAAGCCTGTCTGCTCCTGGCACTTGGACATCTTGTATCCATGACGACTGGATGTGAATGTGTGTAGCAAAGGGCGGGGCGCAGCGGCATGTTAAGGGGGATGGTGAAAGCAATACACTGCACCCTCGAACTCGGACACAGAACAACTCTATTGCCAACATTGCAACATTGACATGGCTTCCCGAGCTGGCATGCTACGACTCTTCTCAGGGGTCACAACACGAAACTTCCTCCGATATGGCAGTCCAGAATCTGCCATGTAATCGTTTTAAGCGGGCAACCGGAAGTCACAACCACAAGGCGCACTCGCCAACGGAGCACACGGCTCGACCGTCAGGATGGTTGACAGCCAACAACTTTCATTGTCCTGGCCGACGCCTAGCCGGAAACCTGTACGATAATCAGCAATAGTCAAAAACCTTCTTCGAGGCAGAGCTTCCTCATGTGCATCACAGAAGGGGTCTGTCATCAGACACTGGCTGGCAAGAAATGGCGAAAGGGAGATAGGCGCATTGGAAAACAAGCAACTCTCCCCCAGCTGGATGCTGCCTGTTACAACTCCGTTTTCAACTTCCCGGCTTCCTGACCCGATTGAAGCATCCCAAAAAAATGGTCTAACTCCAGAGTCTGACTGTATGAAATAGAGAACCTGCAAATGCCGAGCGTTCGAGCATGTCACTCTTGCACTGTAGCTCCCCAGAAGGCGGCTCTTTTTTGCTATCAGTTGCAACTGCAACTCCTAAGATTTCTTGACAGCAAGGCGCAATGAGAGCTTCATGGTCTGCAAGCCGGATCAATTCTTGAACCTTCCTGAGTCGTACAAACTACAAAGAGCAAGGTATATTATCACTAGGCACAAGAAGTACTGGTTTGTTGAGGCTCTCGATCGTCTCGTTCGGCCCTGGGACGAAAAGCTGCTTCTCCGTGACGAGGCGAACTTGCCCGGTGCTCTTGTCACGCACGAGAACTGCATGCTCGTCATCCACCTCAACGGCCTTCACAGGGAGCAACACCTCATGAGAGCAGGCTCTGCACATGGCTTGGAAGATCTCGCCTTCCTTTTGCCGTTGTCAAGGACTTTGTCGTGTGGCCCAAGGAAAACCTGCTTGCTGGACCCGTTACATCCTGCTTCGACACGGATCGTTCCAGTGGACTGGTCAAGGATCTTGACGTATTCATGGACCTTTACATGTCTGGCTCGGGAGGGCTAACATCGCAATTAGAAGTTCTGACAAACTTTCCCCGTGCGCCTTCAGATCGAGAGCTTCCATGACGCCACCATCCAAGAGTTCATCATCTGGACTCGGGAAGACAGTCTGTTCTCCACGGTAGGATGCAACCTTGCCCGTGACGGTGTCCATGAGGCGCACGTACTCGTAGGACTTTAAAGCCTGATTTCGATGGTGAGTAACAACAGCAGCACATGGTCGAAAACTACCAGAAGCTCAAATGTAGCTTGGCTGCCCAGGCTTTGCAAATGCCGCTGCATTTCGCAGAGGCACCCTCAACATGCCAAGTAGGCTCTGGGAAGATTAGAGCTTTGCCTTTCTCAATCCATCTCTTTCCTGAAGACCTCTGCAAGAAAACTGTGGTCTGTCCGGGGATCGCTTGGCCGCATGCAGGACTTCACAGTCAAGACAGGCAAGAGAAGCGGGACTCAGAGCCGCGCGTATCTTTCACCTTGACATATTCATCTTCCTGCAATGCTATAGCCGTGGTCTTGGCGCTGCTTCGCTCGTACGGATCTGGAAACCAAACTGCGGGACCTTTGACAATTCGCTTGTCACCGGTGAGCTGATCCTGCACGCAAGTGCTTCCAAAACAGCTGTAGAAGCCACACCTCAACAAGCAAGCTGCACCTCTCCTCCACAGTGAGGTACTCAATACGACTCAGGCTAACTGCTGCGCCTCTGTTGGCATCTTCATGTGGTCCCGGGAAAAACATGCAAGGACCTTTCACGATCCGCCGCTCCCCGGTGAGCCGGTCTTCCACAGTGGCAAACTCCGTACTTCCCAAGCTGAGGCCTTGCCTTCGCTCGACAACCTGCTCGTAGGCTCCAAGAAAAAAGAGCTGCGGTCCTTTTTCAACTCGTTCTTTTCCTTCAAGAGTGTCCCGCACTTTGACGTAGTCCATGTTTCCCAACGTCTCGGCCTTTCGACTGATCGCAGACCTGTATGTCAGCGGATTTAGTATGGCAACGCCGGGCCCATTCTGTACATAGGCTCCGGTAAAGCCTTCAACCCACACCTGCTCGTCCTGCCCAAGGAAATGGACTGCTCTCTGGCCAGCTGCAATGCACAGGGCACAGGCACCAGCCAACCCCACGATCACCACGAGACTGCTGACGGTGATGAGCTGGAGGCCAGCTGAGGCAACGCCTGCCACAGCAACCACAACCAACGTGGGCAGGATGGGCACCGCCGGCATTGCTATTGGAAGTACTCGGGTCTTGCTTGAAATGGTTCAGATGGCTGATATTTTCACATAGATGTGCCGCTTATTGAAACCGTGTTAGATGTCGATCAGGCAGAGCCTTTGTTGAACTGCAGACTTGCCCAGAACAGGGAGTCTCAGATACAGATGGGGGCTGTTCATAGCGGTCTTTCCAAGCTGCTACGTGCAGCCCCTTGCATCTGTGGCCTTCTGCCAGTGTGTTAATGAAAATGACTGGCAAAGCTACCTGGACCTGAGCCCTGTCCCACCACTTGGGAGAGAAAGTGCAGGCCTTTGAGGTGCACTTCTAAAGCCACAAAAGTTGTTGGCAACCTGGAAAGCCTTTCTGTTTCTGTACACTTTGAGCCGTAGCCGGCGTCCGAGCATCTGACTTTTGAGACACTTCCAGACAGGCGAGACAGGCCGTTGGGCCTCTGGCTTGGGACGACCATAGAACCCATAGAAACGGATGTCAGTGATGCATAACGTGTATCTTCCCAAACCACGCCCGGAAAAACTCCGGCCAGCAGCTCCTCAACATGCCGTCAAGCAAAGGACGAGCAACACGTGCAACGATTTGGGGAAAACGCTTAACGATTCCTTTCTGCGCAGAAAGCTGAAGAAACCTGAAGTTCATGGCATCGATCTCACACAGAGCCGGCTCTGCTGGCCATCGACACCTTGCCAATTTGCAAGATGTGCATAGCCGCAAGCCTGAAAATCCAGTTTGTGCATTTCACGTGAGAGAGTTGGAACAAGGCTTCGGCTCACAAAGCCTTGCACGTCCCAACGTCGCATCTTCGTCCATACCATGTGCAAACTCAAGAATCTCCCGCAACCAAACTCTCGTTGATTGAAGCTAGCTGTCACTAGCTGGAGAAGGCAAGCAGGAGGCACACTTCAGGAAGGCCTGGCCTCAGCAACCAGCCCGCAGAGCACCGACAGCGCCTGGGCTGCTCAGAATTTTGTAGCATGCTGCAGCACTGAAATCGCCGCCAAGCCAATGCCAGCCAAGTCACGTTGGGATGCACTGGGGTCAAAGCCGAAACCGTCCTGAACCAAGAGCCAGGCTTATAGACAAGGCGGAAGCCGGCGCATCTCTCGCACTGGACTACTAGGCTACTAGGCTCTGCCCAGCGCTTTCCAAGACTGACAGGAAAGGTCCGCATCAGATTCTGCCCCATCAGTACACGCTTGATTCTCGGCCGGCCCCAACAAGCAGATGTATCGCAAGACAAGCCCAACTCTGAATCAAAATTGAAGATTGCTGTCCATCTTTCCGGTTGAGAGCTTCTTCAGTCTCTGCGCAACGCAGCCAGCCTGGAACAGGTAAGTGTGCTGGTGGAGATGTGATGTGCAAACAAAGTCCTACCCGTGATTTGCGGCTCGCAGCGTGCCTTACGCCACGGCCAGAAGGCTGGCTTAACCTAAAACTGCGGTGTGGCACTGCATGCAGTTAGCAAGCCTACACACCACCCAACAGCAACCTTGACCCACTGAGAATGGAGTCGCAGCTTCTTCAGGCCCGGACGGATTTGGGTCTATTCACAATCTCTGCAACAGATCTGCCATCCAACGTTCGGGACATTGATATTGACCTGTATTTGGAAATGCTGGCAGAGGCCAGGTGCTGGTGCGGATGCACACAGGACAGCCCAGACAGGGTTCCTCCTTTTTCTTAACACATACAATGAGCTTGAGGAGAAGTGATTCCATATCCTACAAATGTCGATCCATGTCTGGATTTATGCTTCCAGGGCTAACCTCGCATGACCAGCCTTGAGATGGCAGAGATAGCAAGTAGGGAAGCTTATTCCACGATTCACTGAAGGCGGCTTCAAAGAAGTGTCTCCATCTTTGCAACATGCTTGTAGCAACAGTGTCATAGAAGGCTGCATACAGAGAACAGATGAGAACAGCAACCCATACTGGCCTGGGCAAGCCTTCCGTAGATCGAGAGATACCACCAGAAGTCATAGAGTTGCAGCCAGGGGCGGCAGCAAAGACGCGGTCAAGTATTTCCTCCTGACTGCTGGTACCTTCAATGGGCCAGTGACCGGTGCCGGGCTCTATGGGCGCAGGTGGAGTGGAACCTTCGGCTTCCGCTTTGAGGTTTTGACGATACCACTCTGCCGCACGCGTCAAATACTTCTTCCTCAACGGCATATCCTCTGGCACATGCTGGCGCATGAATTCTTGAAAACGCCGGTTGCCACCTAGCTCCATCATTCTCAGGTGGACTCCTTTCCAGGAGTCTAGGGTTGTGGATAGCACAAAGCTTGTCTTTACTCCCAAGGAGCGGTGAATTCCAGAGGCCTCTATGCTAATGTAGGTCCCATGGGAGACGGATGCCCACTCGGCCTTGCGGCCTTCGCAGTCACAGCAGATAGAGTTGGCGGGATCTGAAGCCTGATGTCGCTGAAAAAATTGACCTGCAACAGGATCCACTGCCATTCGCAGAGCTACCTGGGATTCTTATGCTTCTTTCATGCCAGGTAATAGGCAGCGGTTAAAGTAAAGAGCAAGCTTGAATAAGCATGTCCTCATGACTCTTGCCTGATCAGGATAACGGGACTATGTTTTGGACTTGTCCTGGAGCCATCAACTTCCAACTTACCCGAGGGTGAATACAAGCACGTATTCCCAGGTCATCTTCGATCAGCCCCTGAAAGTTGCTACAAAGGGCAGTCAACGACATTGGGTCGACGCATTTCCAAGCTTGCCGTCACGATGCTGGGTGAGACTCTTGAGGTGCAATCCCTGACAAGCAGACCCTGCAGGTCGGCACGCTACCGCGTCTTATGCTGCAGTTTTGCAGCTGCGCAGCCGCGTGCAATCGACAATATGCCTGCTAGATCCGCTCCTGCAGACGTTTTGACACGGTTCGCAGCTTGGTGTACACTTTGCCAGGAGCGCTGCCCAAGATAAGGCTACAAATAGAGTCTCGGGCAAGCTTGATGTTGGCAAACGAGCCAAGAATGTGGATCTTGTCCTCGCACAATGAGATTCTTGTTCGGGTTGCATTCTCTATGGCATACTTCGTCTTTCCATCCTTGCCAGCGATCCGACCAATGCATCGGGATAAGTGATCCCCCTGCAGTCTTTTCACATCCTTCACCTCAAACGACTGGATAAAGAGGTCATCCAATCGGAGGAGAGCTACTGCATCTGGTTGGTCAAAGCCCAACATAAACGCCTTCATGTAGTCCGAAGCCTTCTGAAGGTAGCCAATGTCAGGCGTGTGCTCAGAGTTTCGAATCTCCACTGCTCTTCTCTTGGTATTCATCCTGACCTAGCAAGGAAAGCGGCCCTTCAATCACTCGGGTCTGCAGATTAAGATGCAGGAAACTAGGACACTTCGTAGTTGATTAGCTTGCCTGCAGCTTCATGTGCTCCACAATTGGCTCAATCAGCTGAACCCAAGCAGCTTTGAGCGGTGTTAACCTGAGTCTATGCGTGAAATTGCAATGCTGCAAGTTCTGTCTTTGCTGCATACTTTCCACTTCCGTGCCTGTGCGCAGGCACTGCAATCCGCCGCATCTGCTTCTTTATCCCTTGCTCCTTCCTGAGCTTAGGGGCCAAAACGCTTCAGGCATCCACAAGCATTGAGTTTGGAGAAGGGTATATATATACGTGCGAATTGCCATCCAAATGTCGGTGTCAAAGCGGGAAACTGGGGCTTGCTGTACGGCATGTCAGCGTCAGCCTCCGCTTTAACATCTTCATCGATAGTCTCCACGATCACGTCCTCAACTTCTGCTGGTTGGAAGACGATGCCGTTCTGAGAAGACTGACCTGAAGGTGTGGCATTCATATTGTAAGGGCACTCTCAGAGATTATCCAGCCAGCTTGCTTGCATGGTTCTCTGCCCTTCAAGGTGTCAGTAAATGCTTCAAGCACCACAAGTCACAGCCAAGACAGAGCCATGTGCATCCTACAATCAATGAACTCAGAAGATTAGCATGACCCCAACCTGCTCGTCGGATAGGTCCATAAGTCTCTTCATTTTCCTCTTCCAAGTCATCATCCATGGGAACCGGGGTGTCAATGGCTCTTCCTGACGTATCCAGGCTATCAGCCAACCAAGCAAGAACGCACCACTTGCAGAAACAATGCCTTGGGCATCCCTAGCGAAGGCTGGAAAGTCACAACTAGGGGCGTGCTTTACGGAGCTAGCTGCATCTGAGGCCTCCCTTATAGGGCTGAACGTGATACTTTCCGTGAACTCCCAGGTCCAGGCTTTTGGCCTCTATTACATCAAGCCAGGCCAAGCCAGGCTTGAAATCCAGGAGAACCGGACACAAATCAAGAGCCGGTGTGGGGAGGACTTGTCAAAGGTCATTGATGTTGCATGAGGGCAGCATTCCAGCATTCCCTATCCTAACCTAAAGCTGTCAAGATTGTCTCTCCAGCGGGCGACGTCTTTGCGACCACGCCTCCAGAGACAATCACCTAGTCACCTGTGCGGGTGCTTTTTGTATACTGCTCTTGAGGCTTTTTGGCCACGTGGGAGACCCCAGCCACTGCTGCACGAGAACCTCAGGCCACCACAAGCCGGCGTGGGTCAAAGACTCACAAATACCGGTCGGGGTGACCACAGTGGCGGCACATTGAATTTGGTTTAGAGACCACAGCTTTCTCGAATTCACACTGGAAATGCTTGAGCGTCAGTTCCGGTGTGCCAGGGTGTCCTAGTCTGGAAGACTGCTGCCCAGTATCAAGCCTCAAGGCTTTCTCTCCAAATCCCTTGAAGACTCCGTTGACCTCTAAACCCTAAACTCTAGACCTCTGGTATGCTTGGAAGCTGAAAACCTCTTGCTTGCTGCCATTCTAATAAGAAACAGATGCACATGTTCCCACTGTCAGAGGCTCTGGAACACGACAACACACCACGTTCCGTTCAAAACCCTGTTGCGGTGTACGTGGCTCCCTTGCAGCTGTACATGCCCAAGCCCGCACCTTTGAAGTGTTCCCCACAACCTTGCCACTCCCTTGGCCCCAAATGGTCGAACTCAGGCCCCCGACCCGCCAATATCTAGGGTCCCGAGACTGGTAGCAGAAGTTCCCAACGCACTTAAAAAGGATCTCCAGGCTCCATGGCGGGTAAATCAATTGATTTGCAAGCGTGGCCCACAGTGCAGCAGATACATGGGAACAAATGGCGAAACTATAAAACTGTCCCAGCTCGCAGCTATAACCGACACGGCCATCTCTGTTTGAGGCTCACATTGAGCAAAGATATCAGGAAACATTGGACACCGACGAACAGAAATCTGAGCCCCACCTGCATGCGCCCAGAGGAATAGCAACCAGGAAACAAAGAAAGACTAAGACTATCCATCCATGTATCTTCTGATGCTCTCCATCGTATGCCAAGTCCTGCCAAGAAGCAGACTGATCATGCTTATACGTGAGAAAAGCTTGGAGTAGCCTGGCCTCAGTCTTAGGGCCAAAAGAGAGCAGCTTGAGCCAACGGCTAGCGGAGACCGGACACAATAAAATTTTGGGTCACATCAGAAACTGTAGCAAGACCAAGGACTACACACGCGAAGCAACCACGCAGAGTCTGCTGACAGCTGATCCCTTGCTAGACTTGCCTTCGAGAAGTCCCCGTGCGCTGCCGCGTTGGTCCTCTTCTGGCTTCGGCTTTGTTCCAGCACACTGCAGTGAAGTTTAACCTTTATCAAAAGGAGGATAACAAAGTCAAGAATCCTTGGCTACATGTCGCACCAACACAGGAAGTCCTCCCTGTCGCAGTCGAAGGAAGACGTGTCCAGGAATTCGCGCTTGGTCCTGCCGGGGTCTGGACGCACTAAACGGCTGCGGATCCTGCCCCACGAAGGCTTCCCAATCTGTCCAAACCTCCAGGCCGTAGGAGTTACTAATGGACCAACTACGCTGACCAGCTATTTTCCTTGTAGCCTGGTGGAACTCCAAGGAAGGTTGAGAATACTCTGGGGTGGGCCTCTGGAACCTGTTGTTGGCGGACTTCAGGGCAGCTTTAAAAAGAAACTACCTACCCGCCCCCCTCCCCAGTCTTCAGCTTATGGCTCTTTGTAGAGGCTCTGAGCGCAGACAGTTCACAGGCTAATCTGCTTTCTGCGACGGCTTTTGGGGGTTCGCTCCTCTACTCTCTGAAGGTTGTGGAAGGTCTTGTGCGCACGACAGTTCTCCACTCTTTCTATCCGTGTGAACGGCCCCCTAATTACCCCTACCCTCCTACTCCCAACCCAACCTCCTCTCTGGACTCTGGACTGTTCAAGGTATGCACATCAACGGCGGCTGCAGCACACACAGTTCTGATTCGGTTACTTGCGCCCCAAGGTTAGAAGGCCGCAGGCCTTCTCCCGTGATGCTTCCCCTCAACCCTTGATCTCACCTTTCGCGGCATCCCTTTATCCCCCGTGACAGGTCTTCTCGACCTTCCCTCTAAGGGAGATTATAAGACAGACTGCTTTACGTGCTAACTGCTAGCAAAATGCAGGCCGTGGGCTTTTCTCTCTCGTCCTGTCCCTGCCCTTCCCCCCTTCTCCCAGATTCCCCCCACTGAACGTGGGCCTTCGCGAACTTCGCCCAAGCCCCGCCTTGCCCTCACCAGCCTCCCCCTCCTCGGAGGAACTTCAACAACCCCTTTCATTAACTCCATTCTACCCCCTTCCTGCCAGCCCTATTGGTAGACTGTCCAGCCTCTCTTGGTGCTGGAACTTCAATTGCTGGGCTGTGATGGAACCGGTCGCCAAACCCCAGCCCCCCAGCCCTCCTGGCTGTCAAACTTCAACCCCCGCACTACCCCCTTCTCTCCCCTATTCTTTTTCAGGCATTTCAACTTCAAGTACCCCTTCGACGAACTACCCCCTCCAGGCCCCCCTTCTGCTGAACGTGGGCTTCAGGCAACCCTAGTCTCAACCCCGCCCTAGCCGCCTTGTCCATGTAGCCACGTAATTACTCCTCTCTTTCAACTATATACACTCCCCTTCTCTCCTGGCCTCCTTCCCAGCCCTGCCCCGCGTACCGCAACCTTCTCTTTCATCCCCCATCCTGAACGGTGGAACTTCAACTACCCCTTCGCCCAACCCCACTATGCAACCCCCACAGATCGCCTGTGCCCCAGCCCACACCTCACCTGCCCGAAGCCTTGCCAGACTCTTCACACGGAAGACTTGCTTGCTTTGCAACGTCTTGCCCTCCTTGCCAGCCCGGCTGCCGGGGCGGACGCGCGCTAGCGCTTACAATCACCCCATACTTCTTTGGGCAAAGGGATGGGCACGTGAGCAAGCTGTTGAAAGCAAGAAAAATCCACAGTGAGAGCAGACATACTCACACGTTTCGCAATGGATGCGCTTGGCATAACTTTCTGCAACGTTTGGTCAATGGCGACTAATCAAACACCTTTGTTGTCCGCAGCTGCTGCAGCTGCTGCTATCATATCTGCAAGCCAATCTTTACAGGATTCTGATGCTGCACTTCAGCAAGACTCCTTTGCAGGGCGTTTCTACGCTGGCGCAGATAGGGCCAACTTAACCAACAGGATTGTTGAAAAAATCGATGCGTCCGACTTGAACATTGCCATACTGCAAAACCCTTTCCCGGCAAGCACAGTAATACCCTATTCAAAATTGTAATTCCTTCTCAGCAACTTTCTTGCTGCGTTCTTCGCCGGCAGGGTACATCGTCAGCCATTTCTGTACCTGTCGAGGAGGCACGTGTAGGCAGATTAGGGGTGGATGGACCGCATTGCGCTTGCTAAGGGCTTTGAGAATCTGACTGTTGTTGACCGCTTCGTTGCAAGCCACTCCCTGCCTTTCATCTCATGGCTTCTGTCACATTTGCAGGATCATGTATACGATATACCTGAACCTCACCTTGAACTCGAAGATGCCAAGCTGCATTGAAATCATGGATGCAAATGGATGCTTGTTTAGAGGTTCCATGGCAGACACGTGCTCCTACGACTGCCTACCCACACCGGTTGTATGGCCTGGCGCAGCCTCACGAAAAACTGTGGCTAGCAGCGCCTGTCAAGACCTCCGCACAGTTCCCAAGCCCAACAGTCTTAGTCTTGACTCAAGTCCTCAAGAAAGCAGAGCAAAACTCTGGCTGCCTTCTCGAAGGCAGCTTGCCAGAAAGAGCTTGCACCTTCACAGCACGCACTGCATTGTTAGATTTGTCAGTAAGCCCACACGAGATGTTTTACGGACCTGCCATGGCTCTGGCGGTCTCTGAACGCATTGCTGCACTGACAGCCTGGGGCTTGGGCGGCGAGCTCAGCTGCTCTAAGCTTAAGGCTCTGGAAGCCTGCAGATTCGTCTCGTAGAGCTGGCGCATCAAGTCGGCCAACGAATGATATTGCCTCAGCAGGAGGCAACAGTCCCGTGGGGTTTGACACTATCTGAAACCTCGGAGTGAAACAGCAGTGGCCACGCTTGAGCTTGACGGAAGAGAAAGCATGACACAAAATGGACACACTCTCGCTGTACCAAAGCAGAAGCCAAAGGCCAAAGGGGCCTCGAGCTGCTTGTAAATCTTACACTCCTAAAACACCTGCAACTCATTTTTCTCAAATCCGCGAGTCTCTTGGGAAGCGGACAAGACTTGTGGTACGATCACAACTTTGGAAGCAAGGAAATGCTCCAGGACTTGACCACGAGACAGTGAAACAAGCAAACCTGTGCAAGAAACGCTCTCACAGACTGGAACCTGGGATGAACGGCAAACCTGCTCTGTGGACCTGCAAACAACTTAGGGCCACACCAATGGTTGCCGCTTCTGGAACCTTGGCTCTTTGATTTGGAAAATTGTGGGGATGGTGTTTTGCCTACGGACTGGCGAGATAGCCTTCGAAGGCTCTGCTGGAGAGTTTTCCAAATCCGCCGTGTCTGGCCAGTTGTCCAGCACGAACTCCTTGATGAAATGAGCGAAAACATGCATGCGGCAGCATCTGACATCCAAGCCTCCATGTTGTGGAGACAGAAGAAATAGTTATTGCCTCTGCTGCTGAGATGAAGTACAAGAGAAGTCATCCTGTCTACGCAGGCCCATCTGACATGCCCACACAACCTATGCCATCCTGCATGCTGCTCCGGCTCAGCAGGTGTCTGTCACAACGATGATGTTCTGCTGAAAATTCGTTGGGTAGCCCCAGAAGAATTTGCTAGGATAAAGACACAACCTCAATTTCCAATGCTGCGAGAGCTCAGGCGGGCATCCGCAAAGACAATCTCCTAAACATGCAGCTGGGGAGATTGCCGGCCCTGTTTGTCGCAACATCGTCTGCGTCGCACGATACGTATTTCCACCAAGGACTCAATGCGCACAACCCTGGTCCTGGAAAACAGACAGCAGCACAAACTTCGTTGTGCAAACCCTTGCAATAAAGGTGGAAGAGGATGCAGGAGGTTTGAGCCTGTTTCAGCCTGCAAGTTACGGTGCGCTGATGGCTGCAGGCTCAACCCTCAGGTCCTGCAGCAAAAGACGATCAGAAGACTCTCATTTTCCCTGACCTGCAGTGCCGGTTGCAGCGGGGGTTGCCACAGGACGGCAGGTGAAGACTCAGCGGCAGACCACTCTACGAGGAACTTGCATCAGAATGAGGAAGAGGATGGCACCACACTGCGCGGAAGCAAGAAGCAATCCAGGAACGGGAGTGCCCATCTTCAAGTTTTGTAGATGGTTTGCACAATGCGTGCGAGATGCGTAAGCGACATCGAAGATGAGCAAGTGCTCAAATGCAACACCTGCCAGCTGCCGTCAGGGCAGCATGCCTTAAGAACCTTGCTGAGCATGTTGCACATCTGAAGATGAATATGTTATTCATGCAAGTCCGCTGCGCCTATTTGCTCCGAATGTCGCCTTGCGGTGAAACTTGTTACAGCTCTCTTCGAGTGCGGCTTAGTGACCTTGCCGACTAACTACTTGCATCCAAGAATCTGCGGCGCATAGTAGATGACGAGTGTGTATGCAAAACTCAGCTTGAACGAAGTCGTGCTGCGAAGAATGAAGCGTTGCATTGAAAAAGGTACACCGCACACTAGCTGCAGTGCTTGCTTCAGGCAGCCCAGCTACATGAAAACTGTCAGGAAAATCAGGTACGCGATGAAGCCTGACATGTACGCAGTGTCCAGAACCGGCGGCAGGATTCACACGGACCCGCCTTTGCTCAGCTTTACGTGATACGTTTTCCTGAGCTGGATCCGGAATTCAAGCATGGGGCCTGTGTATCCAACTAAGAAACGCTATGTAAGATATCGACAAAGGAAGGAGTTCCAGTGCCAGGATGTTGCAGGCAGCTAGATGATGGACGATCCGGACGGTGGACACGGAGACCAGACTTGTCCACGGATGTACATGCAAAAAGGCATACTTGAAGATAGGCAAGAGGACGAAACACATAGAACAGAAAGAGCAGCGCTCTCAGGTACGGGAAACATGGCGCTTTGGAGATGGCGTTGCCTTTTCAGATTTCTCAGCTACTGATGGGCGAGCATCGGGAACAAATGCTTTGCAATTCCTGCGGAGTTGAGTAGCAGAGATGCCGTTGCCACATCATCCTCCTCTCCAGACAATATTGCGTGAGATGCTACAACAAGAAGCAGCTGACCTGGCTTCATGGGTAGCCGTTCATTCCCCGTGCTTTTCATGCCCAGAGAAATAGGCATGCCAAGGAAACTATCCTCGACATCAACTCACCCACAAGCATGCTTGCTGCAGGCACCTGGGATCGTGCAGCCATTCATGTACTCCCGACTAGCATTGCATGGCTGTAATCAACGTGTCAACGTTAGCGTTGCCATGTTCAAGTGATGCGTGTAGCGGGCATGCTAAATGCTCATGTGCTGCAACTCTAAATGTATCTGGGGTCAGCAAGGAAGGCAGTCAAGGCAAACACAAAGAGCAATGCAACGGGGCCATCACTGGTTGTGGGGCCAGCGATACCAATCTGTGTATGCCTTGGCTGGAACCGGCATGACCATGGCTTGCTGGCAGAGGCGCTGCCGGCCTCCAGCCAGGCTAGCCTTGCTGTCACCTTGGAAGGGAAGATGTGAACGGGCTGAAGGATGAGTGGTGGCAAGTCGACAGTGGGGCAGTGACGTTTGTGCGGTCAAAGGGGGAATATGGATGCATCTGCACCAGCAGGTTCACGGCAAGACACGAACTTCACGCCCTACATTGACTAGGTTGACAGCCTGTCTTCCAAGGCTGTAGAGATGACCTATGTCAATCATTAACAACCCTAACTGGCAGCACACTGCAGCAAAACGGCCTCTTTCCTCAGCTGGCATTACAAAGTCACAGTGCGGATATGTCCTCGGGGAAGATTGATGGTCAAGGTGAAGCACAGGACACAGTGCTGCCTGAGGTTGCTGCACAGGGCCCCGGTACATGAAGAAGACACCCAGCTCCTCAACGCAACACAAGGCATCTGAAGCACCAGTGCATGTGGCTGGCGGTAGAGTCCTTGGCGGGGATGAAAAGAGGTATCGCCTCGGGTGGGCTTTGCTCACAAGATCGCAGCTGAACAGCTCTTGAGTCCATGGCAGCATGGTACAGCTCGTAGAAAGTCATCAGCAGTACCTGCTCGGCACAGCCCAGATCGTCTTATACAGAAAATCATGCAAAGAGCTTGATCTACCACATACCCACCTCGTAGGGCACAAACACAACCGCCCGGAAGGAAGTAATGCTTGAATAGGAGGCACCCTCATCCTTAGAGTGGAAAGGCTTGAAGGAGATGGCAGCCTGAATACACAAGCGGAGTGCCAAAAGCCTGCACACCAGCATACATGACTTGGGAAACATGCTATGGGATTGTTTCATTGCTTTGCTTGCTACACTTCTTGATTGCATGAGAAAAATCTCAGGATGAAACCCCTTATCTAAGGAATTGGGGATTGCACGCCTAGACGGATCATACAAAGTCATGTTCAATTGGCTCTTGCTTGTAGCAGCTTAGGACAGCCCAGGTTAAAACAACAAACTGATCTAAACAGCAGCGCAGCTTGTCTTGGTAAGTCTCTGGCGCTTTGTCGCAGCGCGTGGAGATGCAGAAACCTTAAGATGATGTTGCCGCCTGCCAAAGCACTCTGTTTCAAATGCTTGTTGGTAATTTCCGGAACCTTGCGCTGCTGACTTGGACACTGCATGGATGGCGTCGTTGAACGGCTCCTGGATTCTCTTCAGGCCACACGACATATCAAGGCGCAACAACTCCCTGCCTGGTTATCATCACATTCACCTCAGCTCAGTTTTGGAAAGAGCGAACCGGGTCAGTGCCGAAAACAGGAGCAAGGCAACGTCGTTTCTGCGAGGGCTTGCCAAGCCGGACACTGCTGCCCTTCCATAGCAGCACTTCATCCCACCTCCTGCATGGAGGCTATTGTTTCAACTGTGTTCGCAGCCCTGTGGCGCAGTGCGATGAGAATCAGTACTTGCCAAGGTCCTTGGAAAGTAGGTGCCACCTTGCCTTGGGCATGACGGCTGGAAAAAGCCCTATGTTGGTTTGAGATAGGCTGTGGCTGGATGATATGAAAACCAAAGCCACGGGAGGCCGGGATGTCAACCCCTTGGTAGCGGGCAGCGCAAACCTAGCACACACTCGCAGCAGCAGCAGCAGCAGCAGCAGCAGCAGCACTCGTTAGGCCCGGACCAGATTGATAACGCATCTTCTCCTTTGGCTGCAGGTATTCAACAGGCAAGCTGAGTTCTTCAGCCAAGCCAAGAAGCTGCCAGGAATGGAGCAATGGCTGCGAACTGAACCCGGGGATCTGTTGCCTTAGAAGTCAATACGCGAGGACGGCGAGGACTCCACTCAAGCTTGAATCGGATCCATCTTAAGATTGTCGCAGCATCTACAGTAACGCACGAGACGGTTCCAGGCTCCAATTGTAAGGTCCTAAAACGTGTCTGCAGCACACTGAGCGGCGCACCATTGTGCGGAAGTCTTGCAGCCATTCTTGAATTCCTTCTTCCGGCACGTGCGCCTCACTAGCAGCCCCACCCAAGCAGATCTTTCACTGTCTGGTCAGATGTTAGACAAATCTGGTGGCCTCCAACGTTCCACCAAAGAATCCCAGCAAAGGTCTCAGAAGCTGCTCGTGTACTGCATGTCAGACTGGACTGAATGTGCAGCAGACCTGAGCTCAGAACAAGCCAAGGCGCTCCACAAAAGGCCAGAAAAGTCGGCACGAATAAGGCGGGTGTGTACCTTGTGCCAAGCCATCCTGCAGCTTTATATTCATTAGAGCTCAAGGTTGAGGAGCGAGCAGAGCAATAGGTCTGCTCGCGAAGCAAACGAGTCTGGGGATCGCAGCACAAGTACAATCCGTCTGACTTCTGTTCAATGATCGCGCTCAGCCTTTCACAAGCTCGAAGAGTTGCTCCGCTAATGACGCAATGTCCTCTGAGCACAGTTCGGACAACAGAGAACCTCTATCCATCATCCATGCTTCTTTTCACTGAGATGCTGAGATACCGGCCTGGAAGCCTTTTAGGTAATGCCCGCCACATGTTCGCACAAGCGTTCCTCTGAGGTGCTCTCCCAGCCTCACAAATTTGCGAAAACTTCGGCCGCTCCTACATGCTTAGACTGCAGCGAATGAGAGATGAAAGATGCATGGGCCAAACCTGCCACTGGCAAAAGAAGTTTCAGCCCCTGACCAAGCAAATCGACTGTCTCCGGAGCAAGTGCCGTGAAGGCGACAATAGCGATCGTCAAAGGAATGATCCTGTAGGTACACTCTTTCTTCCTCTAGGCCCTAGTGGCAGTCTGGTCTGGTTCCAACCGAATTTCTTGCTCAAGCCTCACTTCCAGCTTCCTTTAACCATCTTTCTTGCGTGACCCAGACTTCCTCGATCTGGATCTCATACTCGGGCAGGAGCGCGCCCCACATAGCCGAGATTGCTACGGGATAGGAAGCGTGATGCCTGCAGTGCGCACAGGAAAGACTGAAGTTTCCATGCACAAGGCTTTGGGAGCCGGACCCCGTGCTGAGGACTGTCAGGCGCGTCGGAGGGTGCTCTGACGCCGCCCCTGCATACTAGCTTTGATCTTGTGTGCGAAGATTGAAAGGCGAATGTGCCTGGCACTTTGGCGGGTGTTAGCCTGAATCGGCGCATGCTACAGCTTGTCTAGCACACGCAACATGCAGGTAGTCCGAAGGCAGCCATCTCATATTGCAAGGGTGCTGTGCAAGCACCTGCTGAAGGCACTCCCTATTGGCTTTTCCAGCCTGTTCACCATTGCAACCGGCATGGGCTGCCGGGGGGGCAGGCTGTATTCTGCCTGCTTGCGCAAGACAGAAGAACTTGCAAGCTTAGATTCTGGCTTTTGGCATGCAGGCCTTATCACCGTGGTCCCTCCAGGCTTCCGCAGACAGCACCAGGTTCTCAGAACAGGCCACCCATGTGCATGAGCACTGAATGCCCCTTCTCATAAGTCCCTGGCCAAAACATCTTGAAATGAGACCGGCCAAGAACTGCTGCCTACAATGGCATGCCATGCATGTGAGTCTCAACTTCTGCCGTTTTGGGGGCAGGGGTTAAGGCATCAAAGATAAAGACTGTCAAATGAGGCAGGAACAGTGCATCTGCGGCGGAGATTATTATGCAGGACTGTATTCTCTGCGATCTTCAGGCTTCGTTTTGTTTGCCATACTTTCCGACAGGCAGAACGTGGCTGGGCAGTTTGTGGGGCAGACCTTCACTGAATGGTTTAAAAAGAACTCTACGTGTACCTGAACCCAAACAACCCCAAACCTTCAACCTTCAGCAACCCCGAACCCAACACCACGAACCACCATAAACCCCGAAAAGAAATTATCGCTTCGAGCATCTGCCCCGAGTCCCAAGGGTGACACCCCGTACATCGGCTTAGAAATGTTTCGCCAACTTATCATTCCAGATATGAGTTGTGCGCGACAAGGCCTTCCCACTCAGAAATTTCAGCCTTGATTTACAAAGTTTAGGATGTAAACTTGTTGTCAGCGGACGCAATTGATCGAAGCCCGGAATGTTGGTTTTCCGCAGAAGCTTCAAGAAGCAACCAGTTGCGATTTGAAGCTCGCCTACAAAAACAGCTGACAGCGCCACAGGTCAGAGACGGTGCATTGCTCAAAATCTGTTTTCAGCATGCGCTTATCGTTCGGATAGCAACCAGTTGCGATTTGAAGTTTTCCCGCACGTAAAATGATTTGAAAAAATCCGAAGGATAGGGACGCTTTGCACATATTATGCAGCTCGAAACATGGACAGGTGGATTCTCTAGGCAACCCTTCGGAATGCTTGTTTGCCATTGAAGGGTCAAAAAGAAACCAATTACGATTTGAAGCTTTCCTGCAGAAAGAGTGGTTTTAACAAATTCGGAGGGTAAGGACGCTTTGCACAGAACCACTTTGAAACATCGGTGCGTAGCTTCTCTTGGCCAGCCCTCGGAATGCTTGTCTTCCATTGAAGCATCAAAAGCAAACAAGTTGCGAGTTGAAGCCTTCTATGCATGTCAAACAGATTATAGTATATCATATTGCATTATATTGTTTTTCTTATATAGTATGATCTAGTATGATATAATAGAATATAACGCAAAAATATTCCATTTTAACGTAGTAATAGTGAAATATAATATCATATGTTATGATAGGAGGATGTTGTTTGGTGCTGGGGGGTGTCAGAAATGGCATGGGCTTCTGCATGCCCATTGCGCATGCTTGTTGGCAGCTTTGGTGCTTGAACGAGGCAAAGGACAAACTATCCCTAAACCCTGAACCCCAAACCATATCAGGCAGTTTTCTTATGTGCGATTATTGTTTCCGATGGAAACCGCTGAAAATGCCTTTTTCCTGTCCAAACACAACCAGCTGTGATTGGAAGCTTTCCCAAGAAATGCACGATGCAAAAACCCATAGGTTTGGATGCTTTTTGCGCAGAACCAGCATGAAACATGAATTTGCGGATTCTGTTGGCAAGCCCTGTTTTTTGCGGAGTAGCTTCAAACGAAGCAAATTCCAATTTGAAATTTGCACCTTTGGGATATCGTATTGTCTAAAGGCAAGTTTCCGAAATTTGTTTTTTGCCTCTGATGCAAAGCAGCTGTGATCTTTTCCTAGAAAGACAATGGCTTTAGCAAAGTCACAGGCTTTTCTTCATGTTTTTATGCTTGTACTGGCCGATCTTTGGGCGTCTGGGACCTGCACTGGCTGCTCTTTGGGCATCAAGATTATTTCGGTGCACTCGAAAGCCTGGCACCTCCACTAGCTGCTATCCTCTTGTCTCTCTTACTCTCTGTTCTTCTTCCTGCTCTCTGACCTGTTCTCTTCTTTTGTCCTGCCGCATGTTCTCTGATCTGTCCTTTTTTATTTTTCTTCCGTCGTGCTGTCTGTCCTCTTCTTGTGTCCTGTTGTCTGTCGCCTTTCCTGTCCTCTAACTTGTCCGCTTGTATCTGTACTGGCTGGCGCCTGCCCACAGGGTGGTTCTCGCTGCCGTGCTACCGTGTTCCTCGCGGGCACCTGTCCTGAAACTCCGATAACCCCGCGAAGGGTGGGGAAAAAACTGAACTAAACCGGAAGCAACCCCAAACCCTAGTAATCTCAATCTTAAACCTCAAACCACCCCAAACCCTAAACAACCCCAAAGCCTAAATGTTAAAACACCCACAACAACCCTGAATCTGAACCAGCCCCAAACTCTAAACCCTACACAACAGGCCCTATAAAATTCCAAAAGCTAAATCCAAACCGCCCTCAACAACCCCAAGCCCTGAACCCTGAATCATCGGAAACAACCACAAGCCGTGAACCCTAAACAACCCCAAACCCTAAGCCACCTTAAACCACGTGAAACCGTGATCCGGCCTAAACAATCCCAAACGTCGATTGGCTTTCCAACGGAAAATGACTGGGTTGGAGGCAGGCTTGATGTTTTAAGTACTTGAGCTTGACATGAACGGAAGAACGTCTATCGTAGCCGCATGGGCACGATTCATGTTCTCCAAGCAAGGTACATAGAGTAGCGTACGCACCGCGCTAGTAATGGGTTATTTCAAATTTCCCAAAGGCTCCTCCGGCCATGACATTCCTTTTTTACGCATTACCACCAAACCTACTGCTCACTACTACTCCTCCTCCCGTTACCACTTCGACATACTTCTACTGTTGATTATGGCTATTCCTACTGCTCCTACTCCTACTCTTGCTCCTCTTACTTCTCCTTCTACTACGACCACGACCACCAAGAGCCAGCGCAGGCCCTGGGCCGTTTGCTGTTCCACAAACACTCCCTTGTTCAGCAATCTTTTCAGGCAACGGAGGGCTGATCCCTCTTCCCTGAGCCAATTCATAGTGTTCCCCGACCCGCTACGCTGGGGAGCTCGTCCGTTTCATTGTTTTGGCAAACCCGCGGGGTTTGCATATTGCCTGGTGAGAGGGATCCGTTTCTCCACACCATTGCGTACCTATGCTGACCTGCTACCTGCGGCTTCCACTTCCCCACCTACATGATGGTGCTATGCTTTCTCAGCTCACCTGTTCGTAGGTGGACTTTACTGATTCGAGCCTGGAATGGCTTGGCCCACTCCAAACAGCGGCCAGCAACCAGCAGAAGCCAAGTTGAAGCAAAGCGAGGCCTCATGCTCATGTGACTCATTTGAATGCAAGCTGCTGCAGAGAAGTGCTCACTACAGACGTGTTGTTTTGCAAGAAATGTCCCATCTAAGAAATGTTATCACCTCGCAACCTTCAAGTACACATACGCACAGTACCCGACCCCGCTACAGAAAAGATCGATTTCTTACTGCACGCACCCCTCCTTTGACTTGCCGACACTTGTCTCTGGTAGTTGGCATGACTAGTCCTTGTGTCTACAGCTGCGGACAAATTGCACTCAGCTGCCCAAAACATGCCGTTTCACTTGGATGGTACTTCAAGGGTTACTCAATCCACCCCCCCGGCACCGCAAACCTGAAGTACCAAAGCGTTCATGTTGACAGCTGTGGGCTTCTCCGACATGAGGGAGATCGATGCTTCAGAGGCAAAGTACGCAAGGGCCAAGGAAACAACAAGTAGCATCAGCTCGATCGGATGAAACTGCTTTTGTGACCTCAAGGTTGTTGGCAGTAAATGGTTGATGGATACAGGCTGACAAAGATGAACACAGTGTCACAAGGTGTCACAAGGTGGGGATAAATAGCACCTCAAAGCGGATAGAGCTGCAGGTGACGGTAAGACTAATCATTGCAACGACAGTGCCATCACCACGATCGGATGCGGAAAAAAAAAAAAAAAAAAAAAAAAAAAAAAAAAAAAAAA